AATTATCTCTAAGTGATCCTGAGAGGCTCACACACACCAGCACTTGTGGTGCCCCCACTCTGGGAAGACACTGACTTCACAGTGGGGTGGGGGTGGGGGTTTACAAAGCTGAGCAAGACCCAGCCCCCAGCCTTTGGTGCTGACCCGGGAGCTGCACTTAGGCAGGTAATTCTGTGTGCACGCCCCCAAAGACATGCTGCTCCAGCTCTCCACCTTGGCTCCACATTGCAATCACTTCAGGGGCTTTAAGAAAACACCGATTCCCGGCCCTACACCAGGGATTCTGATTTAATTGGTCTGGGGTGAGACATCTGGGCATCTGGGGGCTTTGGCTATTTTAAAAGCTCCTGAGTGATTCGAACGTACAGCCAGGGAGGAGACCCATTAGTCTAACCAATTACTTGGGAGAGCACCCCAGAGTCTGGGGTTCCCAAGCCATAGTCCCAGGCACGGCAGCTCCTCCTTTTCCAGCTGCCTTCTTGCTCCATCGGAGGAAGAGAAGGTGGGGCCAAGACTCAGGCTAGCACAGAACAACATTAACATAGGAGTTGGAGCCTCATTCATTCATCATTCAATCACATATTCAGTAACGATTTAATATAAGTTCTGTGTAAGAAATGATAGAAACTGATTGCAGGATCCAGTTTAAATTGGGCAGCTGGGCTTCTTCGAGGAGGTGACATTTAATGCAAGACCTGAGCGACAAGACACCTGCTGTGTCAAGCTGCCATGAGAAGCAGCGAGAATAGTAGGTGCAAAGGCCCTGTGGATGGAGCAAAGGGGCATGTGGCTAGAGCATAACTGGTAGAGAAGAGACCAATGGGATGAAGTCTGTGAGCTGGGCAGGGGTGCATCATGGAGGATCTTGTGACTGTGGTAAGGAAGTGGCTTTTGTTTTCAGTTTGATAAGGAGCCCCTGAAAGGATTTTAGGAAGAAAGACATGATCTGGTTTGTGTCTTTAGGAGCCACTGGCTGTGATGGGAAGGGTGGCTGGTAGGGAGCAGGATGGACACAGGTGAATAGTCCGTTCCAGTGGGATGACAGGCACCCTCAGAGAGAGGATGAGTGCTCAGCCGCTCTGTGGTGGGGAATGTAGGTCAGGCAGCCCAGCCTCCTCAGCCGCCGGCGCAGCCCCCTCGCCTGTCAGAGAAAAAAGCCGACTCTGAGATGTGTGGGCTCAACTGAGAGATCAGTGCTGGCAGGGGAGGCAGAGATAACAGTCACCCAGGTGCAGGGATCTGGGCCGCTGCCTGGGGGTCCCTTTGTCCCCCTTCCCAGGGTGCCTCTCCTACCACCCCTCCGCCCCTTCAGGAATCTCCCTGGCAGGCCAGCCCAGAGGCAGGCCTTGATGTATGCCTGGAGCGGGCAGCTGTATTTTAAGATCAGGGCTCAGACCTCTAAATAAACCATAAACACAGCCAGCTTCCCTGGTACAGAAGGAGGGAGACGGCTCCATTTCTCTTCAGCGCAGTGGCTGGGAAATAAACAGGCAGCTCTGCCTGTCACATACACTTAACCCTCTGCAAAGGCATCTGTCAGACACACAGAGCTCCAGCCTCAGCCTTTCCAAGAAATAACTGAGATGCCCCAAGCTTGGGCTTCTCTCTGCAGCCTTTAAGTTCCTTTTCCCTTCAAGAAAAGATGGGTGTGGGGGCCCTTGACCCCAGGCAAAGCTAACGAAGGGCAGGTGTGAACACTAGGCTGCCGAGTAGCTGGGGGCATGTTGGCACAGCTCTGTGGGCTGTGGAAGTGGACGAGAGAGTGGCGGAGAGGGAGGAAGGGAAGGGCAATGGAAAGGAGGAAGGGGAGCAGGCGGGAGTGGGGTGCAGAACCGAGATGGGTGAAAGCCCAACGGGCCTGCGCAGAGCACAGGTAAGGTGGTCATGGGGGTGGGAGAAACAAAGAGAAACAGAAGGCAGAGGGGGCTCTCTCTTCATGGGCCCATGGAGCGAAATCTCTCACGACCATAAAGGAAGAAGGAATGAGCAAGAACAAAAACAGACAGGAACAGAAGGAGGCAGGGAGATAAATAAAGCAGGGAAGGGAGGAGAACCCCAGAGTTACCAAACCCAAGCATTTCCCCAGGGAGGGGGGACTTCCTAATTCGGCAAGAGAAGGTGATTTATAACTGAGCTAAACCAGGGAGAGTCCATAGCGAGGCCGAGGGAATGGGAGAGGCTGGGAATGGTGGCCATGCAGCAGAAGCCACACGGACATGTGGTGGCGAAGCAGAAGGGGGGGTGAGCTTTGGGGTGGTCAGAAGCCAGGCAGCACCCAGTGAGGGTGGAAGCGAAGGGTCAGAGCGAATCACAGGGCACAGAGAGCCAGCCTCTTGGGTGTTGCTGTGATGGACACCTGCAGCAGGGAGATCTCATAGCCACTGCCGCCCCCAAGGTGTGGGAGGGGGTGAAAAACAATGAAAAGGCAGCAACACAGCGATCACGCGTGTACTTACACACACACACACACACACACACACCCTCAGCAAGGGCAGGCACACTCTCAGCAGCACTCCCATGGGGGTGAAGGAGACCCAGGGGTCTCTACACTGTAAGCCAGCCAGTGTGGAGGGAGCCACAGACTTCAAATGATAGATCCAACAGCCCTAGATAGGGGATGAGGTGTGCACACTCCAAATGCAGACTTTGATAGAAACAGAGATGGAGACAAAGACAACAAATACCAGATTCTCTCTCTCCCCCACCCCCTCTCTGTCATACACACACACACACAAACACCTCTCTAAAAGCATCAGACACAAGAGAAAGGAAGCTCATGTGACCCTCACCACCCTATTCTCCCCTCCCACATGTGCCTGCCTCCCCGGAATCCCCTGCCCTTGCAGATCCTGCAGGGACAAGGCTGTGGAGCCCCCTCAGCCCCCCACACCTGCACACACCCCCACATGCATATCTGGAGGCCAGCGAGGCTGGCACAAGGACAGTCTCCTGTAAGTGAAGCTGGGCTTGGATTCAGGAGTCCCCACCTAAAGCCAGATCAAGGGGCTTCCCCAGGCCATCCAGGGAGCCCCAAAGCACTGGCGTTTCCCAGGGCACCTGTCTAGATGGGACAGCAAGGCCAGGCCCACAAACAGAGAGGATGTGCTTTCCACTGTGGCTGGGCTGCCAGTCCTGCCGGTCCAGCGCCCACCACAAGGGCTTTCCCCAGCACTTCTGACCAAGACCTGTAGCCCACTACCTCCCTGCTAACTCACATGGTGCTCCAGTGTTTGCAAATGGGGTCTATGAAAAGGGCTGAGAGACTAAGGGGAGTGGGCTCCCCAGAGACTATGGGTCCATTTCTCAACTCAGGCGCAACAGGCAGTGACTTAAGGAACAATCTTTGAAGACCAAGAGCTCAGATTTAGGCCACAAGTCTCCTGGGGAATGGGGACACAGATACTGAGCACGCTGACACTGGACACACATCTACGCTGGACCCACGCCTGCACGGTCCCCACTGTGTCCACAGGCACACAGTGCTCATTTGATCACACACAGACCCCATCACAGTCCCACTGAATACTACACTGCATACAGCTCACTGTACCCAGTCACCCGTTGTGACCGGCAACACTGACATGCCCCAGATTCTCTGGGACTGTACTGTACTGTACACATCTCCTCACCCTTCAGATGTTCCATTGTTATCAACACTGCACATACAGACACTGAAAAGTCCTACTGTCCTCGGACCACACACACACACACACACACACACACACACACACACAGCTCGCTACCATCCTCTAAAGCCTGCACACCACACCGGCCTGGGCACTACACACAGGGCACCCATACAGAATTCCGCAAAAGAACTCCTTTGATTCCCTCCCAGGAGGTGGGGACTGCGATCCCGCCCCTGGCAAGCTAAGATGAGCTGACCTCAGGCTTCCCTGCCCCTTTTCTTCCCTCCAGCTGCCTTTCCCCAACGCCCACCCCCAGCTTCAGGAAACTTTTCATCAGGTCCCTAAAAGGGGAAACCCGGGGTTCCTCGAGCCCTGCCCTTCCCCCAGACTCACGCAAGCCGCCCCTCCTTCCCCAGCTGGGCTCTCGCCCGGCACCCAGTGGGAAAAGGTCACCGTAGGCAGTCCCCTGCCTGCACCCTGGGAGGAGGGAGCGTGGCAGTAACAGCTGTCGCTGAGGGATGGGAAAGGTGCCGGCCCCGTATCGAGCCGGGGGCGCAAAAGGGTCGCGGTGACGCGCCGGAGGAGAGCCGAGGAGCCGAGGCGGCGGCAGCTGCATCTCCGGAGTCTGGGGCGGCGGCCGCGCCCGGTGCTGGGGCGCGTGGAGCTGTCCGTTCAGCACCACCGCGCTGCGCCCCAGCGCAGGGCTAAGCCGAGGCGCACCGGCTCCGCTCCCGCTCCGGCTCCCGCGGGCGCCTGCGGCGCGGGCTGTTGTCTCTCTCGGGGGCTGAGGGCATGCGGATCGAGAGAGGGGGGCTCTGCAAGCGGCGGGGCCACGCAGCCACCTGTGAGCCTCCCGCAACTGCGGGAGGCGGCGGCATCTCCGGCCCGAGACAGGAGGAGACGCTTGGCGGACCCCGCCCGCCGGCCCGCGGGGCGCACACACAGGCGCACACACACTCGCACCCGCGCGCACACGCACAGCCAGCCGGCAGCGGCGACCGCAGCGATGCTAACAAGCAGGTCGGGGAAGTTTCCCGCCGGCCTCGGCCGCGGGCCCCCGTGCTTGCAGGTAAGCGCTTCCAGAACGCGCAGGGCCAGCCCTGGCAGCTCCGCTGGGTAAGGCGCGGCGCACGCGGCTCCGGGGCACCGCGCCAGGCGGGCGGGGAGGCCCGGGGCGGGGGGCGAGGGGGCTCCAGTCTTGAGGGCTGGACGCAGGGGACGCCAGGCTGGCCCCCTACACTGAGCCCGGGTTTACAGACACGAGCGGTGAATTTCCCCGCCCCCCTCCCGAAGCTGCGCGCCCCCCACCTCAGCCCTGCCCGTGCGCGTCCCAGGTACAGTCCCGCCTGTCTGCGGCGAGCGGGCGGGGACGTCTCCTCCGCCCGCCTACGGGCAAGGTCAGCTTTCAGCCCCCCTGGGCTCTCAGAGGCGCGGGGGCCCGACCCCCGCAAGCGTAAAGCGATCGACAGGACCCCCGGGGTGGGGGTGGACGAGCGGCCATGCTACCGAAAATAAACCCTCTCCTCCCAAACCTTTCCTTGGGAAGGGGCCAAACCCCATGGAACCTCCCCCCCCAATCCCAGTGCCCTCAGCCCCCCAGAGACCCGCCTGGAGGGACTGGACTCGCCAGAGAGGGGTGGGGAGACAAAAGAGGGGCGCCCGGGCTCCGAGCGCCCGGCGCTCACAAGACGTGGTTTCCTCCGCCTGCAGGTGTAGCGCCCCCGCGCGGCACGGGCGTCCGGGCGTCTCCAGCATGACCCGCCAGAGCCTGTGGGACGTGTCCGAGGCCAACGTCGAAGACGGAGAGATCCGCATCAATGTAGGAGGCTTCAAGAGGCGGCTGCGCTCGCACACCCTGCTGCGCTTCCCTGAGACGCGCCTGGGCCGCCTGCTACTCTGCCACTCGCGCGAGGCCATCCTGGAGCTCTGCGATGACTACGACGATGTCCAGCGTGAGTTCTACTTTGACCGCAACCCCGAGCTCTTCCCCTACGTGCTGCATTTCTACCACACCGGCAAGCTTCACGTCATGGCGGAGCTGTGCGTCTTCTCCTTCAGCCAGGAGATCGAGTACTGGGGCATAAACGAGTTCTTCATCGACTCCTGCTGTAGCTACAGCTATCATGGCCGCAAAGTGGAGCCCGAGCAGGAGAAGTGGGACGAGCAGAGCGACCAGGAGAGCACCACGTCCTCCTTCGATGAGATCCTGGCGTTCTACAACGACGCCTCCAAGTTCGATGGGCAGCCGTTGGGCAACTTCCGCAGGCAGCTGTGGCTAGCGCTGGACAACCCTGGCTACTCGGTCTTGAGCCGGGTCTTCAGCATCTTGTCCATCCTGGTGGTGTTGGGGTCCATCACCACCATGTGCCTGAATAGCCTGCCGGACTTCCAAATACCTGACAGCCAGGGCAACCCGGGGGAGGACCCCAGGTTTGAAATTGTGGAGCACTTTGGTATCGCCTGGTTCACATTTGAGCTGGTGGCCAGGTTTGCTGTGGCCCCTGACTTCCTCAAGTTTTTCAAGAATGCCCTAAACCTTATTGACCTCATGTCCATCGTCCCCTTTTACATCACTCTGGTGGTGAATCTGGTGGTGGAGAGCACACCTACCTTGGCCAACTTGGGCCGGGTGGCCCAGGTGCTGAGGCTGATGCGGATTTTCCGCATCTTAAAGCTGGCTAGACACTCCACTGGCCTCCGCTCCCTGGGGGCCACCCTGAAATACAGCTACAAAGAAGTAGGGCTGCTTTTGCTCTATCTCTCTGTGGGGATTTCCATCTTCTCCGTTGTGGCCTACACCATTGAAAAGGAGGAGAACGAGGGCCTGGCCACCATCCCCGCTTGCTGGTGGTGGGCCACCGTCAGTATGACCACTGTGGGATATGGGGATGTGGTCCCAGGAACTACGGCAGGGAAGCTGACCGCCTCTGCCTGCATCCTGGCCGGTATCCTGGTGGTGGTACTGCCCATCACCTTGATCTTCAATAAGTTCTCCCACTTTTACCGGCGCCAAAAGCAACTGGAGAGTGCCATGCGCAGCTGTGACTTTGGAGATGGAATGAAAGAAGTCCCTTCCGTCAATTTAAGGGACTACTATGCCCATAAAGTTAAATCCCTCATGGCAAGCCTGACAAACATGAGCAGGAGCTCACCAAGTGAATTAAGTTTAAATGATTCCCTACATTAGCTGAGAGGCCTCGTCGTCCTCACACCCATGTTGCTGAGTGGCCTCTTGGGCCTCTGGCACAGTTCAGGCGCCTTAGGGTTATGGCCTAAGGAGTAGGTCCAGCCCCACAGGGGAGAGATGCATGGGATATGCACCCCAGGTTGCTTTCACAGCCTTTAGAATCATTTTTAGAGGGTGTTGCGTCAGACACCATGCCTTTGCACCCTTCCATGAAATGCCACTCACTGGTCTTTGCTTCGTGGGCATACAATGTTCACCTTTCTGCCAGATGAGTACCACCCAGAATGCTAATTTTTTCTGTTTATCGTGTGCTCTATTCTAGTGCACGTGGCCCAGTACTGTGAGTTGTCTGTGCTCTCGTCTCTGAGGTTGTCGTGTGAGTCTTGTACCAAAAGCCTCCACAAGTCTGTCCGGTGGGAACACATCTGTGGGGGCGGCAAGGCTGTGATGAGATTTTGCTCAGTCATGTGAAAACAAAATCTCAGTTCTTTATCCATTGCTTTCATTTAGTGTTGTGACCAAAACAAAGAATCTGAAGTTAGCACACAGAGCCAATGCAAGTCCACGAGTAGAATAATCTGTAGCAATGTGACTTGCGTGGGTACCCCGGTCACCTTTAGAATGATGTACACTAATGTTAATCTCGTAAATGTGGCCTTTAGAGAATGTTACTCAGTTAAATGTGTAGTGGTGATTGATTTTTTTTCCCCCCCAAGAAGCATTAGGGACAGGGCTTCAGCTACACTGTAGGCCGAATCATGGGATACCTGAAGACCTTTCAAAGCCAGGCCTTCATCTTTCCTAGGGTGGCCATAAAGACATTTATTTCTGGCTGAGGTTCCCGGGCTAGGCCGTTTGACAAAATTTTGCTGTGTCTTAGATATAAGCATGTTTTGGCAATATTTATTTTTTAAGATGTTTAGAGGTAAGGTCGTGTTGTCTTTCTTACTGTTGTTATTATCTCCCTGAGGCAAACATTATTGGGTTGCTAACAAGGGCAGTAGCTTAGAAACTTTGTTGCCTGCTCTGGAAGCTCATAAAATGAGAGCCCCTTTCTTTCCGAGCAGAATTTACCTGGATCATTTTGCTTCTAGGATACAGTATGTTATATATGATGCTCTAATTGCCCTGGAGTTCCTGGTATGACATGGAAACCCTGCAGCGTGGAAGTGTGTACTCAAAATATAGACATGCATGAGTGAAGTTCTGTGTGGCTTACCCAGGATGGAAATACTGTAGTGCTTACTTCCATTTTCAATGACCTTTTGTTGGGAGAGGGTGGGTAGAGGCCAGGAGCAAGGAAAGAGTTGTAAAACAAAACATTGTTACTTCATAAAATGTCATCAATTGCAAACTTCTTGAAAAGCTTACTGCTCCTTAAAAGACCTTTAAATTTTTAAATTTTTAAACTTGGGTTGAAAGTTGAGAACGCTTTCCTTCTCCACAATGCCCTCTCTCCTCTTCTTCAGTCAAACTAGCACACAACATGGTGAAGGGAACCTGGGCCCCTTTGTAACATAGTTCTCCAGGTAATCAGGTGGTCTGTCAGTTGGCTTCCATTATTGTTTGGTCTTTGGAAAGGCTGCTGAATCCAGGGGTCTAAGTGAGGAGTTAGGCAGGCTTTTTATCCAAGATTTGGGCCTTCTCTACAGAGGTCCATTTTGTGTCTGAGCTGGCTGAAGAAAATACATACCTCAGGGTCTTGTCAGAAGGCTTTGTTACTTATAGTTGCCATGGCTTCTACAGAGTGGGCAAATGGTTGGATGAACGCAGTAGTCCCTTACACCCTTGAGTCTCCAGTTCAAATTCTTCCATGAGACTGGAACCTCATGGGGGGCATGGAGGTGGCCACCTCCCAGTGCCTGGTGGTCTACCGTCCATGTCTCTTTGTAGAAGCGTCAGGAAAGGTGAGATGACTTGGGGGCAACTGGCCACCAGTCAAAAGAGCAGGGTTGTTTTTTAGAATTTGCACATGGTGCACATGGAGCACTAGGTTGGGCTCATGCTTCTAGCACTGGATGGCAGAGAATTTATGAGATCATCCCTGGCTGCACTGCGGGCAGGTGAGGGTACAAACTTTCGGGGACTGTTCAGTTTGGCAAGGATCGGGGTGCTCGGGTCACCGAGCACGGTATCCATGGTCACTGGCCATAAAGCTTGTGATAAGTTGAAACAAAGGCAGGAGGCAGAATAACTTGGTCACTCTCATGAGTATTTTTCTCAACAGGCAGGTTTTATCACCAAAAAAGAGATAACCCCCAGTGGTTACTCTTCACCAATGCGAAAGCTAGAAAACTTGACTTTCCATTTTAGTAATGACTTGCATTTATTTGGTGCCTTTCATTGGGGGAATCCCAAAGTGCTTTAGAGACTGTCTTTTTAACATCTCTTGTACATATTTATACACTTGTATAAAATATCACTGTGCCCATCCTGGAATTTTAGTCACTTCTGAGAGTGAGAATGTCCTAATAGCATTGACTTCTCCAAGTGGTGGTTTCAGATCAGAGGGAGAGAGAACAACCCAGCTGGCTTGAACCCTGGAGCTAATTCCCACAAAGGATGGTGCCTGGATGTGGCCTAGGGAGAAATAACCTTCCTTTCCTCCAAGTACCACCAAGGTATGGAGTATAAGTGCTCTCCGTTGGACTCCGTCTAGGTAACATCTTATGTGGCAGTTTCTTCTGGTCTCTGAAACTAGTCAGGGAGGATCAGGCTAATTTTATGCTCTGTTTCTGGAGTTAAGGATACAACTATGAGGTGGCATCTTTGGCCACCAGGCTGTCAGACTGACCCATAAACCTCCTTTAGGGGGACACAATAGAAGCTTCAGATCACTTGTTTCCAGCTGTGGCTTAAGAGCAACTTACTCCCAGCATTTGAAAGTTGTTATTTTCAATGCCACTGGGACACATGTATGGACCAGGCCCTTCTGACAACACATGTGATGAGCATTTCAAAAGTGCCGGTTGGAAGTGACACTGGGTCTTTATTGCATGGATATTGGTTATAGATTTGTGTTTTAAGCCGAACGCCCTCATTTCCTGGGTTTGCTCCTGAGGAGGGGCATGTTGTAATGCCGAGCTGATTTGTAGCTCCTAAGGTAGTAATTGGTATTTAACATTTGGATCTGTTATTTCTACTTCTCTTAGTACTCAAATAATTGAACTACCTGCTAATTCTTGCCTCATTTCAAAGAAAATGATTTGTTCTGTACTTTGGGATAGCAGTGATCTGTACAGGCTGTGTGTTATCTACTTGAAGGCTTAACTGGTATTTCTTGTATGTTTTAGCAGCATGACTTGTTACAGAGTTGTAATTTTCAAAATTGAGAACACTGTATTTGAGATGTCAGTTTTAACGCTCATTAACACACTACTGTGCACGCATGGACATGGGCCCTGCTGAACCATTATGTCTGGTGGCTGCACGTTAGTCTCCATGGCTCGACTCGGGAATGAGGGGGAACGCTGACGCACTCAGGACTCCAGCCTCGAAGATTAAATAGAAAAAGATTATTGACGCTTCCTTAAGGCACTTCAATTACGTATGGAGTGGCAAATACAACAAGGGTGTGTGGCACCAGGGACCTGAGATCTTGGGAAAGGCTGGGCTTTTTGAGTGTTTGTTGGGAAGGAAGAGCTGTTGTTTATTCTTTGCAGGCATACAGAGGTGGCCCCCTTTCCACCAGGATCTAGAGCCCCCAGCCTGCTTTGTAGAAAGGATGGTCATGTATTCTTGGAACCGTCATGAAACAGACAGCCCCTTTCCCCTTCCTCTCTGTCTTGCTCAGCACCACTGATGGGCCCGCCATTGCCAACCCCACCCCACACTCCCAGGTGCCATTGTCCCCGCTGTTTGCGGGACCTCCCTGACCGTAACTTGGGTCCGGGGTCTGCTGAGTGCAGTGGCTGTTTTGGTGTGAATATTGCTGGGGGATACATGGAACCGGCCCTCAGCACCTCCTTAACCTGGTAGGGCCTTAGACCATGAGCTATTGCAAAGGCCACAGTATGTCTGTAGGAAGGTCACTGAGCTCTACTTTCAGTTTTGCCTGCAAGTCTGTGATCTCGCACACAGCACTGGCCTTTCTGAGCCTCACACCCCCCTGCTGTAAAGCAAGAGGGTTGGATTAGATCATCCTTAAAGCCCTGGCCAGTTTTCCGTCTCGATGCAAAAACAGAATTTCTGCAGGCCCCTCTACGTTCACAGTATAGCAGTGAGCAGGTCCTGATAACCTTAAGCAGGGCAGAGGGACTGCTCACAAACCTATCTGCTTTCATTTCTCTCTTCAGTAACCAACCACAGTGGACGACGCTCTCAGGGAAAATGACACCAGAGAAATGTTTGGACTGCTGTCTGTGCCAGGTGACTAGAGTTTTAACATAACCGACAAGTGTCTCCTTTGGGCTTGAAACTATTTATACACCTAATCCAAATTCCTGCTATTAAAAAATCACTGGACACAGAGGAAAATCACATTGATCCCATTTGGCTTCAGGACTCTTTGCCACTTATGTGTGTTCCTTTTGTGAAGCAGGATGGACCTCCCACTTTGTTCCCGAGAGGTCCCAGGGCCCCTGAGTGGAGCAAGGGCAGATGGATCACCCCCATCCCACACAATTCTCGCTGAGGAACAGTGGCAGAACAGTGGGCAGCAGGCGGTGTGAACCTGCCTCCGGTCTCCTGGGGGCTGAGGAAGGTGCTGAGGGACACGCATGCAGTGCTGAGAAGGTGTTCGAGGTCTTGAGAGTCCTTGCATCCCCACCGAGTGGGGTGGAGTGCACGTTCCTCTCCCACCGGGGCAGAAATGGGTGTTCAGGCATATTCTGGGGCCAGGATGCCTTGCATCTTCAAAGGAAAAGCAAACACCTCCTCTTGAGGGAAGAACTTAAATACTGTGCTCACATGGTTATTATCTCCTTTTATTTTTAGGAAGACTCTTAACTAGCTTTTCTACCCAAGGATCTTGTCTGGGTTTAACATCCAATTGATACTCTAGGTCTGAAAATCTGCCAGGTTTTCTTCCTTCTGTGACCTCATTTGTCAATCTTATCATCCTCCTGGCTAAATTCTCCAAAGCAAATAATTGTGTCTGCAGGCGACAAGCCGATTCTTTTAGTAGAACATAGATACAAATGCGTCCTCAAAGATGTGGCGCAGGGGAAAGAGATACACCAGAGGGAAAGGGGACAGGCGTGCCTAGGAGCTGGTGCAAGCTCCTACAGAAGGAAGACGGGATAGAAAGAAGCCAGAAAAAAAAAAAAAGAGGAAAGACACAAGGGGGTACAGAAGGAGAGAGTGGAGGAAAGAAAAGGCAGAGAAGACTGAAGGGAAAGAACAGACAGAAAATTAGGAAGGATAGGAGAGGCTAAGTTTGTTGAAGTTATTGTAGGCCTTCCCTTGAATTCATTTTATTTCCATTCAACGTAGCCTGTTCTTAGCCCACCAGTGGCCTCCTGGGCGTGACCTGTGCTGGAGTCCAACCCCACCCCTGTCCACCTGGTGCCTCCCCCGCTGCCCTCCACCAAAGGGCTCTGGTAGAATAGAGACCTGGAAGCTACAGAAGGCCTTTTGAATGAAAAGGGGAGTGAGGACACAAGGAAAGGAGCCGTAAATGTTTCCTCCTGAAGATGGGACCTCTGGGGTACACACGGAAAGAGTGTTGGCGTTGGCCAGACAGAGGTGGCCGAGGGAGTCTGAGACGGAGAGATGGGGCCAAGGGGAAGGAAGAAAGCTCCAGGAACAGGGACCTACACAAGCACAGACAAGGAGGCCCACAGGCAGCCAGCACGGTGGCGAACTTGGAAGCCAGAGTGGCTGAATAGAAGCGTGGTGTGAACAAGTCTCGAGTAAAGCCACCGAAGGAGCTTCAGCTTCATTCTTCCGCCACTGGGGTGGGACATCTGACTGAATCAGTGCTGTCAGAACGTGACTCTGGCAGCGGCTGGGAGACATGGAGGGGGCCGGGAGACCTATTTGAGGTCAGACGTGAAGGGAGTGGGATGGACGGGAAGGGGCAGAGCGGGTTGCCAGGGAGGATGCTGTCAAGGTCAAGGACTGGTTGTAGGGATGAGGGAGAGGGAGGGTGGGACAGCTGGGTGTCTGGCTTGGTTGGTGACGGGTGGACCGTGGTGCCACCAGGAGAGACAGGAATCCTTGGATCTGTCCCTGAGGTTGAGTGGTGTTGCCTGAGTGCCTGGGGCCGCACAGATGGGATGGAGGTGGGTGGTGGGGGGTGGGGAGGCGGGGTTGCCGGAGGGAACCTGGGACAGGATCCCTTCGCTGAGAGGAGGAGGTTGAGGCCATGGGTGAGACAGCCCAGGACGAGTAGGGAGAAGAACACAAGAAATACAGGTCTCTGCACCAGACGGGCCACAGGGACGAGTGAGGCCCCCAGCCTTGCTTTCCTCTGCCGGCCTCTTCTAGCTGCCCTCCTAGTGCCCCCTTCCCCCTGAGACACTCCCTATGAGGGATCTCTGCTACCAGCCTCAGCTGTCCTCTTCATCCCTTTCCTTGTTTTATCTCTGCCATCGGCGTCTGTTCCTCCCACTCTCTCCAAACTGCTCTTTTGAAGATCACCAGTGATTTCCTGATAGTTAAATTTCGTGGCCCTTCCTCAGCTCTCAGGCTCCTCCATCCAGATTCTGCCCCCACAGGCCAACCTCTAAGTTCTTCGCACTCCCTCCTCTGTTACTCTGTGGACATTGCACATTGCTGGCTCTCCCGAGGGCTCTGCTCCCCCCTCTCCCATTAACACCGGGTCTTTGTCCTCCTCCTGACCCTCTTCATCCTGCATTTCCCCCAAAGTTCTGTCCTGGGCAGCCTGCAGCGCACTTGAGCCAAGCAGCAGGCTCAGCTAATCTGCATGCGCCTTGCACGTCTCTGTGCCCGACCCCATGCACTTCTGAGCCCCAGGCACACTGCCCCTTGCATGTGGGTAGCACCCTAAAACTGGACTTCTCACCATCACGCAAGCTTGCTCTTCCTCCCGCCTGCTCCCTCCTTTCTGGCCATGGAGACACGGTGCTCTCAGCCCCCCAGGTTGGAATTTTAGTCATCCTTGAGTCCTCCCCACTTACTTAGACATTTTCTCACCATAGCAATCATTTCTTGCCGCCTGACTAATTGCCAAGCACCATATTAGATGGAAGGGAAGGAAATGTAAAGGGTATTGCTCACAGCCCTTAAGCAGTAGGGACTTTACAGCCACTTTATTGTGCATTGAAATGATCTGGGGAGCTTTCAACAAAGTAGATTTCTGGGCATCACTCCATCTACAAAATCAGACTCTTGGGGGTGGGTCCCTAGGAATTCGTCATCTTACAAGGCACCCGGGTGATTTTGATGCAAGTGGTGTTCAGACCCCTCCCGGAGAAACAGTGGCTCAGGGATACTCCTGATGGTACTCTCCCTCCCCCTCATGCCCCTGCCTAGTGGGCACCAGGTTTTGTCCCTCCTTTCTTCACTGCATCTTGTACTTCGGTCCCTTTGTATTCCCTCTAAAGCCTCCCACCCCACGTCATTGCTCCTTAACTCATGCTTTGCTCATTTCCAACAGACTCGTGTCCAGGCTCTCCGTCCGCCAATCCATCCTTCCCTGCAACCCTCCACCATGTTCCTCTTTCCCTCCCTGTATCTTAGACTTACTGGTGACTTCTTTGGCTATGGCTGTTGCTTATATTGAAGACGTAAGCACCACTGACATGAAGAGTCACAGCTGAGGAAGTGAAAAACCTGCATTGCATGGGCCAAGTTAGGCTCGAGGACAGACAAAAGTGCTCCTTTAGGAAGGAGTGGCCTTTCAATGGGGCAATGAGGGGCAGGTGATGGGGACATGGAGATTTGTAACCAGGGACACAAGCATTGGCAGCACAAAGGGCTTGAATGTTGGATGACCAAGCTCACTACCTGTCTAGGATGGCCAATCCTGAGTCCTAGACTCATGGTCTCCCAAAGAGCCGTGTGAGTCTGTCCAGCACTGAGTCGTCCCTGGACACCCAGGGATATGGTATGAGGCAGGCAGGCTGGGGGAACATGGTAGAAACAGAATTGGGGTTCTCCAGGAGGTTTTTTCCACTCAAAACTCTTTTCATCGCCTACATCTCCAGACATTTAAAGAATTCTGAGCTATTTTCAGACCTACTATGAAAAGCACTGAGGTGTTATCAGTCAGACACCAATCTAACCATTTCCTAAGAGGCAGGCTGGCATGACTCACTTTTGATCTGTCAGCTTCGTATTGATTTTCCTGGCAAACTCGGTGGGTCTGCCAGAGCTGACTCTATCAGGAGCCACGGAATTGTAACCCACCGTGTTCAGAGCCAGTTCTTACAAAGGCCACCACCACAGGGTTGTAGCCTGCATTTCTTTTTGTGGAATGTGCGGGAGGAGAGGAGGGAAACTGCACAAAACCAAAGATGTCCCTGGGCTTTCCCACCGCTTGCTAAAAGAAAAGCCCGACAGCTTTCTTCATGCCTCTCCCAGATTTGAGATTCGAGTACTGCTTTTGGACGAGGAGCTGGTGGGAACGGAGGGGGCCCTCAAAGTAATTCTGGGTTCTCTTCCGTGGCAGGTGAAGCCGCTTGCTGCCACTCTGCCCTTCCCTCGGCCGTGGAACCGGAGAGCCAATGATTAGAGGCGTTTAAGTGTATTACTATGTAATCTGCCAATTTTAAAACATGAGATCACTGATTATTCAGTAGTCTCATTTAAAAAAAAAAAAAAGCCCTCTCGTTAAAAAAAATAAAAAATAAAAATTGCAGTCAAATCAGAATGTCCTACTGACCTTCCCATTTCCCTGAACTCCCCTCCACCCACCATGGGAATATGCAAATGTGTGTCAAAGCTTCAGAACTAGCAGATGCTAAAGGACTCATTTGAGCTGATATTTCAAGGAGGAGCTGATGGCTGGAAACTGGAATGTGCAGATGTCACATATTCAGAGAGTCTGGAGTGCTGGCCTCAGCAAATGAGAGGCCGAGTTAAATCAGCCAAGAGCCGTCACTCAGCTGGGTGCAGAGCCATTTGCTGAGCGCTGTGCTGAGGGCAGTGGGAACATCTTCTTCACGTGCCCTCAGTCCCTAATACTTTCATAAGTGCACCATCAGGTCAAAAGTCACCTCAGATGGCCTTTCAGGAGCAGTGTTGAAATGTCATGGAGGGATGTGCGCATGTGCATGCATCTGTGTATTGTGTGTGCGTGTGTCTGAGTGTGTCTGCGGATCTCCGTGTGACTTTGGGTGTCCGTGTGCCTGTGTGTATGAATGTGGGTGTGTTCGTGCGTCTGTGTGTCTGTGAACGTGGGGGTGAAGGGAGCTGCTCCCCAGGATTCCCATAGACATTGTTTGCACAGAGAGGCTTTCCCGACGTTCCGCCCAATTTCAATGGCATTTTCCGGCCACCACTGCCTCTGCGTTATGTCCTACAGCATCCGGTACTTTCTCGTCTTTGCTCTTATTGCAATTTGTCATTTTTGTTTATTGGGGGCTGCCTGTCCCCCCCACTACTTGGAAGATCCACGAGCACAGGGATATTTATCTCCAGGGCTCAACACCGTGCCTGGCACAGAGTAAATGCTGACAAGTGATAAAGAAACCAAGGGCAGGGGGCCAGCATGACGTACGGAGTTCAGGTCCTCTTACTGGGAGTGATGCCAGAGAAATGGCAGGTTGCTGCGGCGGAGATCTGGCTCGCCGCATACCTGAGGCGGGGCTGGGAGCCTCAGCAAGGGTTTTCAC